AGCAGTGGGGGCAGGCGGGAGCCAGTATGTGTGGGGAGCCAGCTTCTGTGGAGTTGGTACATGTGGGAAGTGGCCTTCAAGCCCACTCTCCACATGCATCAGCTCCCACAGATTCCCCCCTCCCCCATTGTTGCCTCTATCAGAGCGGGGGGCAAAGCCCCCTGTGTGTAACCACGAAAAAATCTGGCAGTTACATGATTCTACAAATACATGATAGTTAACATCCCTAATATAAAGTGGCATTTGCAAATTTGCTAGGGTTCTAGAAAGAAAATTTGTATCTGCATCAGTATTTGCAAAACTGAGTGCAGATATCTGCAGCCATGCCCACAGAGGTGGATACCCACGGGGGTGTAAAATCCTATTTAAAATGTTAATGAGACATGGTGGGCTAGGGACTGGTCCAGCTGAGTGTTGGTTAACCAGTTACCCTGATAAGTATGCCAGTAAGGTGACGTTTATCGGGTAACCAGTTACACCTTTATATCCCTAATACCTGCAGATATTAAGTGGATTTGCAGGGCTCTATCCATAAAATATTTTGCTGCAGGTGATGCTTTTCTGCTGTGTAATCTGTTTTAAGAATCCCCATTATAGTGTAAGCCTTAAGTAATTTATTTTCCTTTGAGAACGGCTTGGTGCTGAGTCAGGCATTTCTAATAGTTTTTGTGGAACTCAAGTCAGTTATCTAATTCATCTTGCTCTAGAACCCTGTCTGGGGATGTTACCATTTGGAAATTACCATTTCTTCCTTTCTCTCTAGGTGGCAATGGCAACAGGGCAGGTGCTGTTTCAGCGTTTCTTTTATACAAAATCTTTTGTGAAGCATTCCATGGAGGTAAGAATTGTTTTTTAAAAAGTGCTATATGATTTCTTGAGAGCGTGTATGATGCCTTGTTGAACTATGTGTACAGGAAACTTTTGAGCTATAGGTACAGTGGTTAGTTAAACACAGTTTTACACATATTGTAACATACTTCTCAGATTTTGAATATTTCTTGGTTTTACCACATTTTCTCTTGTTATCCCTCCTTAAGCTCTTGGAGGCGATCAGTTCCAGATTTGAGCAAAACATCAGTATGTTGCAATACTTATATTTCAGCATGTTTCAATGGCCTGTGTTCATTTGGCATCCAAAATTGAAGAAGCACCAAGGCGTATAAGAGATGTAATTAACGTGTTTCATCGCCTTCGACATCTAAGAGAGAAAAAGTAAGTTTAGAATCTGAAATGTCCATTTCTTTGTGGCCAGTTATTTTAATGTGGAGACTACCAAATGTGAGGGCCTGAATTTAATTCCCCAGCTAGCCATAATTGTTGCTGTGCTTATGGGGGAGTTCAGATGCATCATGAATATGGATAAAACTATTTGGGGAGTGAAAACCTAAAAATTGAAATGTTTTACTGTTATAAATACTAGCTAGGGTGAGGCAAAATATAGTAACTCACCTATGTGTCCAAGTAAGACAGTTGGTTGTCTTTCAATATTTGCAGTTCATATTTTCTTGATGGAAACTGAAATGTCTTACAGAAAACCTGTACCTCTGCTGCTGGATCAAGATTATGTTAATTTGAAGAACCAAATCATAAAGGCAGAGAGAAGAGTTTTAAAAGAGCTGGGGTTCTGTGTTCATGTAAAGCACCCTCATAAGGTTTGTATGATGTTCAGCTAGCTTATAAAACAGTAGGGGTGTGTTTTACACGCTGTTTATTTTGGCAGATTATTACACTGAATAAGCTTCTTGTTTCACAATACTGAAATCAGTGAAGCTAGCTTACTGTGATTTTGCTATCTTGTTTCTCATTCAAGAGAGTCTTAATAGTTGGTCTTGTATCTCATTGGTCAGTGAAGACTGGAGAAGGATGCAGATGTTAAGAACTGGTTAGATTTAATTGTATTTGGATTCTTCACTTTGTCATAGCATGAAAACAACTTATTATTGAATAAGCAGGTAATTTTGGTGTCAAATTCTGAACATTATGAATTAATTCCTTTTTGATGAGGCATTTGAGTATCTTTTTTATATAATCTAGTTGCCTGATAACCATTAGTAATGACAAGTATTATGTGAAATTTTCATTCCCAAGAATGCTTTTCCCCAAAGTGTGCTAGACTCTGCTCCCCCTAAGAGCTAATCAGTGCTGCTGTTCTGATGTAATAAAAGATTGCTGAAATAGAGTAAGCATTCTCCTTTTCCTTGTACTGCAGGTAAATGCTCTCTGTCTTGCAGTAATGGGCAGTATATTACTTCAGACCTCTTGGGTTTGCTGTATTGTAAATGCACTTATCTCAAATTTAAAGAGCCTTCTGGTTAAAAATGTGTAGATACCTTGATCTCTTCAGGTTTTCTCTGTCTGCCACCACTGTGTTTCTTTCTGAACCTCCTTATTACTGGGGTACTGATCACAGGAATGATTGTACTCCTTTATCCTCCAATTCCCGTGAATTTCCTGTAATCCTTTTTGGGTTTTTTTGTGGTTCACAACCTCTCAGTTGTCTCTTATGCTTCTGTGAACCTTTTAAAATATATTATGTAGGACTTTACATAAGCAGAAGAGGAAGAATGTTGTTAGAGTCTCTCAACAGAAATGTTTTGTAGTGGCTGGTGCCGCTTTTCCCAGGTGATCGTGTTTCCTCCTATCTGGCAGCGAGAAAGGGAATGTATTCATATTAGAAAAGCATATCTTTTTTGAAAACTAAGTTGAAAGCAAGACTTCTAGATAAGTAGAATGACTGATCTCAGAAAGAGGGGAGTATGAGGGAGATCATATTTGGCTGTGCACAGAAACTTTTGGAGCCTGTTCTTTCTCCCTTGCACTTGAAGGCAGAAACTACCTGAGTAAACACTAGGCAACTTCTAAGCATGCGCTCTCACTCTGGATACTTGAGTATTAAAATCTAGAACAGAATAGCAAATGCCGCATGGACACCCCTCTGAATTAAATATTTGGCTCTAGAGATTCTTGGTAATAACTCAATAACCCATATCTTCCAGATAATCGTTATGTACCTTCAGGTATTAGAATGTGAACGTAACCAACACCTGGTCCAGACTTCTTGGTAAGTTGATCTTTCTTGTTGTAAGAGATCAGCGGGGCAGTGGCAGAAATATGTCATTTGAGGCACTCTGGGCAACATTGGTGTAGCCCACAGCTATCTTCATGGAATAGACAGTTCCAGTGTTTCCTGGAGTGCCCCAACCTACTACCCAAATGTTGGTCGGCCTCTCTAAGTTTCAGGCGCTGTCTTTACTGGTAAGATAGCTTTAAACCCATCACCCCTTGCTCTTTCTTCCCTCTTCTCCCACTCTTTGCCCTCCCTCTAAAGTGAATATGTTAAGTGGTTGTTTCTCTGGGTAAATCATGCGTGCAGTTCTTGTCCGTCGCTGATGGTGGGAGACAGACTTTCCCAACACTTGAGCTGTTGGTTGCAACAAGGGCATCAGGAACCCTCGACACATCCTTTTATCCTCATGGATAATCCAAGATGTCAGCTACTAAGACTGGATAACTCAGTGTTTTTTGCATTTGCCTTGAAACTTCTGCTGCCTGCCTTGTTGCTTCACTGTAGTGAAGAGAATCATTTGGGGATGGGTATCAAAGTTAAAAATTCCTGATTTTTAATTGTAACAAACTTGTAATTCAGAAAACAATGACATGATTTCAGAATTGGAATAATGAATCTAAAGGTCATATTTCTGCTGACTGAACTCTCTGGTACTGTGATCTGTTTGATGGAGAACCTATTTTGACTTTTCTTTTCTGTACTCTTTTAATCAAAGGGTAGCCTCTGAGGGTAAGTGACTAAGACTTCTCCTCTGCTGCCCAAGCGCTATGGTGCAGGGATAACTGCCGTCTTCAGTCAAACCAAAGCAGGCTCTACAAAGAGAAGGCTGACTCTAGACAGGTGGTATAAATACGATAGTATAGTAACTGGCCAACTGCTTCCTGTGCTTATACTTTTGATTTTTTTTATTGTTGTGCCCTTGGCTCTATTGTATATTGTATGAAAACTGTTTATGTTAAGATGCTATAACTATGTTAAAGATGCTGTAACTTTATAAAATGCAAAAAAAAAAAAGTCCTATTTAAGGTGGGATTTAAATCTTATGGGGTGAACTAACATATTTCAGAGTGTTTTATCGTATTTGTGTAAATTTAATCCAGCACTTAACATACTTGATTTAGAAGGTCTGTAATTTGGAATTGAGTTCAGCAATGGCACTGGACACTTTCCACTTCAAAATTATACACAACTATTGCGTTCAGAATGTACATGTAAAGTAGGACTATAGGAACCAGCTTCCCTTTGTTTGGGTTGCAGAGAAATAACTGTTAGATCAATGCCCAACCATTACATTTAAAAATGTGCATGTGGACACAGCATAGATGCATTATTGAAAAGTAGTGGGTATCCAGTATAACTGATGTTTGAAATGTCCTGATTTACATAACTTCAACAAAAAGTAGTTCTTTAAACAAATGTTGAGTTCTATATGCACCCAAACTCTGAGCCCAAAGGCCAGCTGCACAGTTAACTAGACACTTTACTTTAGCAGTTTGGAATAGGAAGCCCATTCATTCCCCTTACCTTTGAATAATACTTCTCACTGCACTTCATTTCATAAAAGCTTTCTCTGATTTCCCTCATTGTCTCCATAGCAAAAACAAAGTAGAATAGCATAACTTAGTGTAAGCTTTCTACATTGGCAAGATGGAGAGTCAAGACTAAGTCTTTAACTTGCCACTGTTTTTCCAGTGGTCTCAGTCATTCCCCAGGTATTAGAACTGAGATCTGGTAGAGGACTAAAATGCTGATAGAAGTGTGAGCGTCTTTCCTTTTAGAATTCATTAGCACCTGTAAACGGGGTTTTAAATGGTCCGTGGGCTGTTTTTTTGAGTGTCCTTGTGGACTGCATACCCACCCACAATCCGTTTCAAAAGCTTATTAAAAAGTTTGTATAACTACCCAGTGGCCTTCATTCTGGGTGGTATTTTATCTCTTGCCCAAGTTACATCTTTTAAGCATTTCACTTGTTGACAAATCCAGATGCAAAGCACTTTTAAAATATGAATTTCCTTAAGGATTTAAAAATCAAAATCTTTTAAAATATATACTGACTGTTGTGGAATATGTGCAATATTTTACAGTTGTCTCATTCTGTGAACATTCATTTTAAGAAACCTTGTTGAAATGGGACAATTTGGAAACGATACTGTCACGTGCCAGAGAAGAGGAGATCTGTTAGAATACTGACCCATCCTCAGCATTGATGTTCCGAAATACCTGGATTTCTTCCGCGGCTGGTTTTTTGCATCACAAATGGATTCCGTCTTGGATGCTGACTCTCTAATGGAAAATGGACAGGTTCCAAAAGTATTTATGTGGAAATGGGCACACTCTGAAGTGGACTGCTTTTCTACGAAGAACTCCGGCAGCATCGGCAACTTTGAACGCTAGCTTTGAGTTTGCATGCTTCTCTGCACTCTGGGATTGAGCCTAGATTTCTGTTACTGAGTACTTGACAGATTTTGTCTCTTCAAAAACATTTGTTTTTGCATGAGAGCGCAGGCCAGTAGTCCTAGAGGGAAAAGTAAAGTTAAAATTGGTTCTCTTTCAAAACGGATTTGTCTGACAGCCAGTCAAATTTATTCCCAACCACATATCCATCCCCTTTGAAGTAATTTTTCTAACTTCTCTTCAGGTTTATAGGAGTAAAGCATTTGAGCTTAGTGATAGAATGCATAGAGAAGTAGTTACTGTAGAATTGGAGAGACTAAAACTGAGGAATTCTGCAGGGGGTTGCAATTTTCCCCTTATTTTGTCTTTTAGGAATTACATGAATGACAGTCTGCGAACTGATGTCTTTGTTAGATTCCAGCCAGAAAGTATTGCCTGTGCCTGTATCTACCTTGCAGCTAGAACATTGGAGGTGAACATCATCTATTTTATGTTGCTTAAGTTTACATTTAAGGTTTTCATGTAGTAGAAAACTGGACCTGTGATTTGTCAATTGCAGATCCCACTTCCTAATCGTCCTCACTGGTTTCTACTGTTTGGAGCAACAGAGGAGGAAATTCAAGAAATCTGTATAACAATCCTGCAGCTGTATACTCGGAAAAAGGTTTGCTGCTTTATATCATGTATTCAGAATAAATTTAGTATTGCTCAGAACATGGGACAACACTTGTTGCTCCCATTGTTGCAAAATTCCCAATTTCAGGGGGAGAAGGCTTCAGGCCCTGAAAGTCACATCCTTTCAGAGCATGGATGGTCAGTTGAACGCTTCGGTTCATTTGCAGGTTGACTTGTCTTATCTGGAAAGCAAAGTAGAAAAGAAAAAACTAGCAATTGAAGAGGCAAAAGCACAAGCTAAAGGTCTGCTACCTGATGGGACTCCCAGTTTGGATAATACATCAGGGTTTTCCCCTGCTCCTAAAAATGGTTGGTATCAATCTAGTTTGTGTATTTGGACTGCATTGCTTTTCTCCCATGTTTTGTGGGGATTAGAGTGACTTCATAACTTGAGTAAGAATCCTCTCTGTCTGGCCAAATTAGATTTCAGGTATTCCTCCAGTGAATTCTTCATTAAGCTGTTTGTATTTGAAATTATACAAATACTGCTGTTTGCAGTGTTACAGCTCTACAAAAAGGAGTAGTCAAACTACTCAAGATATTTTCCGATATTTTTTTCTCTTGGCCACATGTGAGTGTGTATGCTGGAGGAAAGGTAGCTTTGGGACATCATCCCATTGTAATGAGACACCAAACAAAAGCATTGTCTATTGGAAATAGCCGGTGTGAGTACTGTTTGCAAACTGGCTGGCTAGTGTTATCTTTTGCCTAGCGGACCTTCCTGAAGATATAAAAGTATTAGTAATCTGCCTTTCCAAGATATTGGAAATAATGTGGCATATTTACATAAATTGCTGGTTCTGGCAGTTTTGATTAAAGTTTTTTTTCACGGATTAAAGTTTTGTATTTTTTGTTTTCGGTATTGTATGTTTATAGCTTTGAATTTATTTTAGATTTGAATAATTTCTGACCCTACTTCATCCCTTTTTTGTATACTGCAAAGTGTATCTAAAGGGATTTGATAATTGGTCAATTTTTGCAATCATTAGTAAGGGGAGGGACCAGTTCAGCCACTGTTTGCCACATCTTTGATTGGATTTCCCACTAAAGATTGACATCTCTTTGATGCACATGTAGGGGAGATAAGTATAAACTTTTACACTTTCCTTGTAGAGTCTCCAAAAGAAGGTAAAGGAAATAAGCCTTCACCCCTTCCTGTGCAGGCAATGAAGAATGCCAAAAGAAAAATGGATGGAGCAAAAAGAACAAATTCCAATAGCCCAGTGAATGGGTAAGATTCCACATGATAAAAATTTGCCTTTGATTCTCTTGTTACCCAAATCTATATCTTACTTGGATTCTGTCCTTCATAGCATTCAGAAAGGAAGGGAGAGCAGAAGTGGAAGCAGAAGTCGAGAGCAGAGTTATTCAAGATCACCATCTAGATCAGCATCTCCTAAGCACAGGTATGTACTGAAATGGGTGGGAGTGCTGAGTCCCATTCTTAGCCTGCTATGCATATGGCAAAGTACCCTCCCAGGGTTTCACTTCAGTAATCAGTGGGCTCTGAAGTAACTGCAGCCATTTGTACAAAACTTAAACAATGTTTGGAACTCTGGAAATTAGACTTGAGTATATGGAGATGCAGCATGGCAGCCACTGTAGCTTTCAAACGAAGCTATGTTTGGAAGAATGATTGTATATGAATGACATCCCCTTAGCCCAACAGATCTGCTCTTTGTACTAGTAAGCCTTTTTGTTAAGGTCAGTGACAAAGTTTATACTGCTTCTTACTCTTTGCCATAGACAAAGCTGGTAGATAGGGACATGAATTCTGTTTGATTCACAGATCAACAGAATAGCAGCAGGTTAGGAGTCTCCTTCCATTATACCTGGGCCAAATACTGGAGTCGCACAAGCAGAACTGAGGTCCAGATTTGGCCTGGCAAGCCTCTTACTGGTGGTGGTGCTTAGTGTATGAAAGGCTGCTTGATTTTCATGCCATAAGCTGTATTCAGTGCTACAAATTAGAGAGGTTAAACATCTGTATACTTGTAAATTGAGCCAGTTTACCATAACTATCCACGAAAGGCAATCGTGGAACCCCCCAAAATCCATGCATCATCTTTAATTCTTCTGCCCTAAAAGCTTCCTACTTATAGCAAAAGGCTTTGGATTATTAGTAAAACATATTGTGAAAATTACTGTTCAGCATTTCAAAGCATGTGGGGTTTTTTCCCGTCCAAAACAAATGTAATGATTATAAATGGTACCTGGTTTAGTTCTGCAGGAAATATATACTGTACCTTAATGAGTTATGAAAATATTAAATTATATTGCTACGCAGTGACAGGCTGTAAACTTGTTTGAACAAAGAATCCCACACAGAAAAATCATTTTGATTTACTCAGAGTTCCCACGACAGTGTTGTATTTTGTGGGTGTGAGATGGGGAAATACTCTGAAGGCAGATTTCAGCCTGAATGGTAGTTTACAAGCAAGTAATTCTATTCAAAGATTGCATTTTAAAGGACAGCATCAAATCATTTTCTTCAGAATCCTTTTTCCTTGTGTTCCACATAGCACCTAAGGTTACTGTAATCTGCAGTGTCCTACAGCGTGCTTCTAATGTTGCAAATGGCATTGATTGCTAAGGCCCTCACTGTTTGTTCTCCTCCTGTTTCCCTGTTTTAGGAAAAGCGAAAGCTACTCGACATCGAGTGGCTCCAAATCCCACAGCCGCTCCAGGAGTCGCAGTGATTCTCCCCCGAGACAGTTCAACCACAGTACTGGTTACAAAGGCTCTAAAATGAGGAGTTACAAAAAGTCAAAGGACTACAAATACTCAGCACACAAGCCAAGGAAGTCCCACAGCAGGAGCTCGTCACGTTCCCGAAGCCGCTCACGAGAGCGTTCTGATCATTCTGGGAAGTACAAAAAGAAAAGTCACTACTACAGAGAGAGACACGAGCGTTCACGCTCCTATGAGCGTGCGGGTCATCGCTATGACCGAGACCACCCAGGTCACAGCAGGCATAGGAGATGAATGTTACAAACGGTTCTCCTCTGTCCTTGGGGATTCAGGGTGGAGCCTGGGTTGTAAACCACTTAGCTTCAGTAAACTTTGCTAACTCTACTTGTTAGCATAAATCCAAAGACACTGGTTAGATATAATGTGGAAGACTTAATTTGGTAAATGGTTTAGTTGTTCTGCTACTGGAGTGTCTCTTAGAAATGTTGAAGAGCCTCCCTCTTGTAGTGGATGCTTGGACTCCTGTTCTTTGGTAATGGATATATTTGCATACTGTAGTGCAATGGTGTTAATATATTTCTGGGATTGAAGTACTCGGCACCAATTTCCCTGCTTAGTGATTAGAGAATTCTGCTGAACAGACCTTGATGGAACTAGAAGAAAGCTCAAACATTTAATGAAAACTATTAGTGGCTTGGTGCTAACAGCGGTTTCATACTGACGCAATTATGTTGTACAAATGTAAGGTGATATTTCTACAACTGATACCTATATTAGGTTACACTTGTGTATATATTTTGCAGTGTTTAACAATACAATATGGGAATATGGCCTTATTAGCCCTTACACTTTAGCCACAGTGTAAATAAGCATTTGTTTAATACAAGTGAATGCTGTATACTGAAAAGACAAAACTTGAATTCTATCAGTTTAAGATTTGTGTAGAGAATTCTGAGAAATGTGAAAGTATTTAGCTCTGTGTATTGAAAGTAGTATATTTTTATCTGTGCAATGCTGTGTGCAGGCCACCAGCTCAGAGACGTTTCATATATATACATTTTATGTGTTTTGAATAATTATACTCAGGATATTTGACACTCTGAAGAATTGGTAGTTTGTCAATCTGCTTGCTTGTTTAAAAACAGAAGGTGTAAAAATAACAGTTCAATAGACAGCCCAGTGGTATCCGTTTTAGTGGTATATCTGAGCTGTTCCTGTGCTCCCTAATTTCATTAAAGTATTTGATTTTGTATTTAAACTGTGTGATGTTACTGTGATAATTCAGACACTTTCTTCTAAGTTGTTCTATGTCTAGTAGTAAAGGGAAAAAATAACCTGACTTTAAGTATGGTAAATGAATAATTTGTAAGTTTAGTTTTAAAACAAGTGTGCTGCCACACACACATAGTTTCAGATTAATTTTGTAGCACAGGGGATGCGAGTAATGATAAACCAGGTCTCTTCCTTTGCCACTTGAGGGAGTTAAAAGGTATGCAGCTGAGCAGGTCTATAAGAATTTTCATACGTGCAGGTGCGATAAAGGGTTAATTGCCTGGAGCAATGAGTTTTACTATCTATTGAAAGAAAATAATGATGGATGCTGATAGGCAACAACTAACCCACACTGTATGAGGACACATGTATACAGCCTTGGGCTGCGAGCCTCCAAGCCTACGTCAAAGACTCAGGCTCACTACCAATCTAAAAATAACCATGTAAACATCAGGGGTTCCAAACTTTTTGACAGGGGGACTAGTAAATCCATTCATGAGCTTTTGGAGGACTGGTAATGTTCATTTGCATATTCATTAATCAAATGATGAATATTCAAATACGTTGTTTCTGGTCCTCCCAAAACCCCCAGTGCCAGCTTTAGCAAAGCTTTTGATATGGTCGCCCACAATATTCTTGCCAGCAAGTTAAGGAATATGGATTGGATAAATGGACTGTAAGACAGACAGAAAGCTGGTTAGACCAGGGTTTCCCAAACTTTTTACTTTAGTTGGAACCCTTTTTTTTTTTGTACTGTTTTTTGTAGCCCAAAAATATAAACACATAAAAAACAAACTGAGAAAATACCAGACATATAACATGTCTGGCATTTTCTCATTAGGTAAGTTGTATTATTACTAGATGTATCAGTTTGTGGTTTCGAACTGCCTGGCTGGTAAATGTGCTCAGGCTGCATGAGTGTGTCTACCAGCCAGCCAGTTGGCAACTACTCGAGAGGTGTGGGGGGACAATAGAATCCCCAGGCCGGACTAACTCATGCTTTATGCTTGAAGGGGGGTAACAGGGGCAGCGTCCCAAGATCTACATATGGCCGGGTCAGTCCCACTCTTTGCAGGCCGATTCATTCCTCCCCCCCGTTGCCCGCGCTGTGCCTCTGGCCAGCCCCGCTTCCCCCAAGCCCCTCCCGGGAAGCCAGGTCCCCCCCACTTCTCCCA